ATTTGTTGCTCACGTCCTTTAAGTATTATCCCATATTAAAAAAACATCAAAGAAGTTCTCTTCCGCAACCTAAAATATTCTTTACAAATGGAGGTGCAGTCTACATCACAGCAGTGCTGTATACATGAGGGGGCTATTGGGGCGTTTCTGCTGGAATGAAACTATTCAGAGCCATAGCTAACAGGTAATACTGTGGTAATAATTAGTGAAAAAACCTTCTCTGGCCTAAAAGGAATTTGTCACCAAGTGCCAAACTGCATTATTTGATTCAAGCTTATGAAAGAATTCTGGATTTTCTATAAGAAAGTAGCTCTAAGGGTAAATGGCAAAACTAATTGTTCTTGCTGGTTTAGAAATTGATGTTGAAGCATCTTTGATTTTATGCTGGTTTCTTCCTTACTAGTAAAAATGCATTAAATTGTTGATATTTCTTCACTCCTCCCCAACTCCCAACAAAATTCTGTAAAATATACTAAAAACAGCTAGAACTGCTCTAAAAATACTTCCCTGAACAAAATAATGCTTAACTCAAGCAGAAGCTGGAGCATTTCACAGTTCCTACAGTATCAGCAAGCTTTTTCACAAGGGCCTTGCAGTACATGTTTTAGGATTTGTGGGCAATGTGGTCCCTAATGTACTCATCAGCTCTTCTGTTGTAGTTTGAAAGCAGCCACAGTCAACATTTACATAAATGTAAAAACCATTCATAGCTCCCATATCTACAGGATTTACAAAAACAGAAGTGGACAAAGCTTCCTGAACTCTGACTTATACTATTAGGGTGATCAAGATTAGATTGAAGAGTTAAGAGTGACACTTGAATTTGACTCTTAGTTACCTACCAATTAACTCTGTTGTCTCAGTCAAGTTACAAGGCATTTTAAGCTTCACTTTTCTTACCTTAAAATATTTTACACAATGCTTTGCATATCATCAATGCAAATAAATTTTATTCTTGTGCAAACACTAGTGTTACACTGTGGGACCCATAATAAAGACTTATCTCAAAAAAGAGGAAACCTCTAACCAAACTTCTAGGCAGTCTATGAAAAGTGTAGTTTATTTCACCCTGTGCCAATGTCGCCACCACCCCTCACTGCAATACTGGTTTTCCACAGCCATAATCCTGTTCTTACTACATCCCTCTTCCAAACTTGCAAGAGCTTCCTACTGACCATTGGATGAACCTGAGATGGCTAAGCTCCTGGCTTGGTGCCATGGCTTGTCTTGCTTGGCCTTGGCCTTCTGTTAGACCCTCAGGCACACCATGCTTCCTTATGATCCATGCATCCCAGATGCACTTTACCTGTAGTTCCCAGAATAACCTAAATTCTGTCACACCTGCTGGCAGTTAATCTGGAATGTCTTACCCTAACCTTTCTTGAATTTGTCCTGGAACTCATCTTACTCACACTGCAAGTCTCAGTTCACAGAGCATTTGTCTCTGCCTTCTGTAAGGTCATGCCTGGTATGCTCACACAGGACAGCATTGGCACCCACCCCACCACCACCTGCCAAAACACAAAACACTTTCTGTTAACCTCAACAGTTGCACTGACAACTCAAAGTGCAAGATTTTCTTTAGCTGTCTGCTCCTCCACTAATAGAAGACTCTTCCATGAGAGATTTGTTTATTTTTGTAACCCCAGTATTCACCATTACACATGGTATGTAGGAACTTAATAAGTATTTAATGATGATTGAAAGCACTTAATAAACTATAAAGTACTATGTAAATAAGATAATTAAAAATATTGGCAACAGTATAAATTAGACTTACCATGCATGAGGTACTTAGCTGGTACTTCACACACACACTCATTTAATCCTTAACTGGGTCTCATAGAAACATCACTATCTCCACTTATAAGAAAATTGGGTCAGTGAGCTTCGGTAACTTGCCCTCATCACCCAGTTCATAAGTTTGGGAGGTGGAAATGGAATTTAGTCCACTACACTCCAAAATTTTAAGTTCTGAAATATTAGGCACTATGCCTCATTCTGAAAGCATTAAGAGGAAAAAAAGAGGAACACTGTAAAGGCAGGGAAAGGGAGGAGAGGAGACACAATAAATCCTTCCATTCCATGTCAAGAAGAAGTACAAAAGATTAGGGGGGAATTAGTTCTATAAAAATAAATAAAAAATTCATATTATCTTCCAGCCATCTCTTGTGTTGGCTAAATACTCCAAATTGGCTCACCTCTCTTAAATGGGGTACAAGGAGTAACTGTACTCTCTCTCTTCCATTTATTTCTAAATTTTTATTTCAATTCTCTCTCTCTCTTTTTTTTTTTTATTGTGGCAAGTGAAACTGAATGGAAACAATACAAGAAATAAAATTTTGTGAAGGCGGGCCTCCCCGGTGGCGCAGCAGTTGAGCGCTGGGTTGCAAAGCTGCCCGCAGCCTCTGCAGCACCAGTTCGATCCCCAGCTGCTCCCCGGCCACCACAGGAGGGTCCCACATGGTGCGCAGACCTCTCCTGCCGCCCGCTGCTCCCCTCAGCAGTGTACTTCGGTCCTTCTGCCTGCTCTGCTCCCTGCTCTGGCTCTGGTGAATTCTCTCACCCTCCCGCGCTTCTGGCTGTGCCCAGTGCTTGTATAAATAAGTAAATAAATCTTAAAAATAAATAAATAAATAAATAAAAATTGTGGAGGGAAAACCTGAGTCTTGTTGGGCCTCAAGTCTCAGCACGATCAAGCTATTGCCAGCAACAACGTGAGTTTGATCCCCGGCCAGGAAGCTGACCCAAATGGCACAGTAAACCTCTCTTGTCTCACCTGCTGCTCCCCTCAGCAGTGTATTTCAGTAGATCCACCTGTTCTGCTCCCCACTCTGTCTCTGGTGACTCCTCTTATCCCCCACACCCCTGGCCTACACCCCAGTTCTTCTATGCATTAAAAAAAAAATTTGAGTTTTGTCATGTCATGTTGCTTTTCATACAACCTAGTAACAAACTGGTTTCGTCCAGAATGATAGCACATTCCTTCTCTGCTTTCAGGTTGTGATCAAATCTGTGGGTATTCTTCCAGGACATTTTCTTCTGCATTTCTGCCTACTCAGTTACTCCTTGTACTCTTTTTATTGCTGGGGTTTCTCATTAAGTGATCTAGCTTATATCTGTCCTACTATTTCCCTCATCAAGGTCATTATGTGTTTTTTAATTTTGTTTGCCAGAGAATCAGAACTTCACATAATGTGGTTACATTACGATGCATCCCCAACATCACATACAACTTTGTATGTTATGGGTTGCACCTAGCAAGTTCCAACCTTGACTCTTGTATATCAACTTTCAACTTGGTTCATTCACCTAAGATCAAACTGTATGTAATCTATAATTTATTAAGTTTGTGACAGGAACTTCTTAGAGAAATTAGTAGTCAGATTCAAATAAAGATTATCTGAACTACTTCTCCCTATCCTATCTGATTATTGCTCCAATATTAGGGAAAATAAAGTTGATAGGGTGGGAGGAGGGGAGAAAAAGGGATTTCACAGAAATGTATATTCTTTTAGGTCAGAGGATGTTCTTTTAGCCTACTAAGCAATGATTGCTAGTTATTGCTTCAGCTTTATTAGTTTTGTTAAAAGTAAATATTCTGATACTTCTGATTTTTATTTCATAAGAATTACAATAACTGGAAAATTTTATGTACTATGTTTCAATGATAAACTTTTTTTTTTAGCAAGCAGTATTTGAAGTAGTTTAATTCAGGGGTGTCCCTGGTGACACAAAGGGTTAAGCACCATACTGTGAAGTTATCTGTAGCCTCTGCAGCATGAGTTCAATCCCCAGTCTGCCAGGGAGGTACCCACATGGCACAGCAGACCTCTCCTGTCTCGCCCACTGCTCCCCTCAGCAGTGTATTTCAGCCAGTCTGCCTGTTCTGTTCCCTACTCTGTCTCTGGTGAATCCTCTCACCCACCACACCTCTGGCCTGTACCCTAGTTCTTGTATGCATAAATAAATCTTTTTAAAAAAAAAGAAATAGTTTAATTCAGCATTAGGTATACAATCAACACTTTCCCTCTCCATTTCTGACCTTTTTTTTTTGGTTGAGGTAACACTTTTTTATTTACACATACTCATATTTTAAAACTTCTTGTTAAAGAGAAAATTTCATGTTTCATCTACAACTACATCCTATTTTAATTGAAAATATGCCCCAAATTCCATTGTTGAAAGTTCTTTCAATAATTGAAGTTTTTAAAAGGGAAAAAGTTAACCAATTCAGTCTGTCCAGACTTTTTTCATTATCTGCCTCTCAGCAGCATAGTGACACATGGCAGGACAGAAAGCCAGATGTGTATGAACATCTTGTTTGTGTTCTTCCCTGCATGCTTAACTCAGGGAATGCATCTAATCTACAGGAGCACACGTTCCTTGTTTGAGGATAGGAATAATATCGACCCTGCAGGGCAGCTAGATGAGATTACGAGACAAAAAGAATAGGAGAACATTGCTGAGGATAATAGGAATGTAAAATATTTCTCATTATCAACTGAAGACTTTTCTTACTAGGCTATAGATTGTTTAGAAATTAAAAATTGTAATGTAGTTTTTCCATTACAAAATAAAGGTTTTAAAATGTCATATACATGGTAAAAATTATGATGGATAGACTATTTTGACTAAATTTTTTCAAATGCAAGTGATGTTAAAAAGTAAACAAAAGGGCTTTCATGGTGGCCTACGGGTTATGTGTTAGTGCTATCACCCCTGCAGCCTGAGTTCAATCCCTGGCCAGGTTGCTAACCCACATGGTGCAGCAGATCTCTCCTGTCTTGCCCGCTGCTCCGCTTAGCAGTGTATTTCAGTAGATCTGCCTGTTCTGCTGCTCCCCACTATTTCTCTGGTGAATCCTCTCTTCACCCCCTGCACCTCTGGTCTATACCCCAGATCTTGTATGCAAAATAAATAAATCAATCTTTAAAAAAATACAAGGCTAAGAATACCTTATTGAAAAGATAGTCTTGCACTTATTAAAAATGTCTTACCTGTGGAATCCAGCCCATGAAGCAGGGGAGAACTGATGACACACTAGGAGAGTCATGCTCATTTTCACAAAGGCGATTTCCATCAAAAGTACATCCTTCTAGTAATAAGCCACTGATCTGCCAGGCAAACATGTGTAACATTAAGATGTGCATCAAAGTCTGAAATCTCAGGAGTTACTGCATTATACCCCAAGAAGAAAGGCAACACTTTCTGCTCTATTTCAAATAATAGAAACACACAGACAATAGTATTTTATCTGAGAATAAAGAAAGTGAAGATCTGGACTAGTGTTCATGTTCACTCTGAACTTTCATTAGACTGAATTCTTATTTTTAGCAAATATTTTAGAAAAAAAAATACCATCAGTTTCATAACTGCATGTGCCTTGGCATTAAATTAATTGAAATATAAAACACTAAAATGGGGGCCTCCCCTGGTGGCGCAGGCAGTTGAGCATAGTGCTGTGAAGCTGTCCGCAGCCTCTGCAGCATGGTTTGATCCCAGCCGGGCAGCGAGATACCCACATGGTGCGGCAGACCTCTCCTGTCTCCCCTGCAGCTCCCCTCAGCAATGTATTTTAGTCAGTCTGCCTGTTCTGTTCCTCACTCTGTCTCTGGTGACTCCTCTCACCCTCCCACGCCTCTGGCCTGTATCACAGCTCTTATATAAATAAAATTTAAAAAAACCCACTAAAATGCTGTTCTTTCTCCAGGAAGGGCAAGAAAATCATAATTTGAGAAGAAGTTGGTAGTGATATGATTTTTACATAAATGTTTTAAATGAGGGCCTCCCCAGTGGCACAGTGAGTTGAGGGCAGAGTTGTGAAGCTGCCCACAGCCTCTGCAGTGTGGGCTTGATTCCTGGACAGCCAGGGAGATACCCACATGGCACAGCAGACCTCTCCTGCCTTGCCCACTGCTACCCTCAGCAGTGTTTTCAGTCGATCTGCCTGTTCTGGTCCCCACTCTGTCTCTGGAGAATCCTCTCACCCTCCCGAGCCTCTGGCTTGTACCCCAGTTCTTGTGTAAATAAATCTTAAAGAAATCACAAAAATAAAAAGGTCTACTCTTCAAAAAAATATTTTAAATAAGTTTAATACCTTAATCTGCAGCTTTGCTTCTTGTAATCGACCTTTCCATGAGGCAACAAATTTAAGGCTATCCACAGAAAAGCCCATTGCCCTATAAAAGACAAGTATCAAATATCAGAAACAAAAAATCCTCAGGAATTAAAATATTAAGAATAATACAAAGTAGATATATTCCTATTTATTTAAAAATGAAATATAGTATTCAGATAATCAGATCTCTTAAACTATACATGATAAATTTCACATTAAGCTTTTAAAGTTGATTAGTGATACATTCTGCTTCCAGAATGTATCAAATTAACCTTCAAATTCCTTGAAGGTTAAGTAGGGTCTTTCTTTTTGAGTTTTACATCCTCCATTTTGTTGTACAGGAACATGGTAGGTACTTAAAAAGTATTTATTAGCTGAACTGAAATATCACTACTTGTAATATAATCTTGAGGCACTATAAATTGAAACCCCCCTGAATCACTAAACAAATTTTGTCACTATTTTTTAAGAATTGTTTCTTTCATTATAGTCTAATTTGCTTAAAATTATAGTCTAACTAGTCTAACCTGATTGTATTACAAAAGGTTTAATCTTATCCATCAAATAACTGTTCCTTAACAAGAAAACTCAATACTGCCAAACAGAATTTTCTGAAAAATTAAAAGCATTTTCAGGTAGCATACAATGTGGTCATTGAGCACTTCAAATGTGAGCAGGGTGATAGAGAACTAACATTTTTAACTTTAGTTAATTTAAAATTAAGTAGTTCCATTTGACCTCTGTGTAACATATGGAAGACAACAGACTTTGGTTTTAAAAAACACCCAAATTTTTAAAATCAAAATTCACCTTTTTCTAGTTCTAATGAATTAGACATAAAAAGTAATACTTTTAAAATTAAATGTTAATTCTTAGTAAAATTCAAGCATTAGGAAATAACACAACTGTGTTGTCAACTGGAAATTTCTTTCTTGACAATCAAGGAGGAGGTTATCAGAAGTGAATAAAGCAAAATATATTTACCCTCACAGACTAAATAAGCATTTCATTTTAATTACCTTGCAGTTTCCTGGCGAAGAGCATTGAGAAATGTGTCTGGATGGAAGAGTTCTGATAGATCAAGTGTATCAGAGAGGAGAGCCTGTTTTTCCGCTCTCTCTACCCAATTCTAGAGGGGAAAATACACACACATGCTTTAAAACTGTCAATTTGAAAAACAAATATATTAAAGAATTATCACACAAAATTTATTTGCAGTGAGAAAGTAATACAGTATGTAAGTTTTGAAATAGTATCTGGGAAAAAAGATGACCACTTCACATTTACAGTTATATTCTTTTGCTATAACTTTTGTCTATCACAAATAACTTTTGTTGCACAATTTTTTGCTGGAAAAAAATCTACTCAAAATAAAGTCTAAAATATGAAAATTAATCCACTATGTAGTTTCCACTTAGACTGGCTCTTCCAATGATAACCCACCCATCGAAAAGTGCTTAGAAGCTACAAGCGGATATTGAGCTCTGGGTCTAACTCCATGGTCCTCAGGGGCCCCAGGTCTTCACAATGTAAGCTGAACTAGTTTTCAGAGCCAGATATGACACTGAATTTACCATCATACTGAATCAAGTATTACAGCAGAACGTAATGTCCAGGAACAAATCATTCTTTGCTTAGAGGTGTTTTGAATAGTCGTTTCAAATTGTCATTATATAAATCAACCTACCCTCCATTTGGAGAAATATACATCATCATAAAGTTATGGTTGATGCATAGAATAAAAAATGTGTCACTTGGAAAAATGGCAAAAGAAGTAAAGTCCTGTACAATACTTATTACATGTTTCCATGTAGAAGCCAGCTCATATGCTTACTAAGCAGCCTTTAGTAATGTTTCTCTCTAATATTTCCTGCAGGTGCTAACACACCTTAAGAGACAGACAGCTTACTGATGATTTCTGAATCAGTCCTTTATTTCAGCAGGTTCACAGAGATGGTAACACTCTAATGCAGCTATTAGAAGCTTGCAGAACTCTCATTTACTTGGTAATTCATTTTGTATGATTTATAAAGACTAGGAAAAACTTTTTTCTTTTTCAATTTTATTATTGTATAGAAAATTTGTGTTTCATGTACTATAACAACCAACAAGATGTTACCCAATCAAGTGTTTACATCTATCAGGCAGGTCTAGAGTAGGAGATACTAAAACCTCCAAAGCTACTTTTCTTTAAAGTATATTAAAAATCTAATGTACACAGACACTACCTTATGCTTGTACATTAAAAACTAAGGATGGCACAGAAACATTAATTCAAAAGGGCACCTGCACCCCTATGTTTATAGCAGCACTATTTACAATAGCTAAGCTTTGGAAACAACCCAAATGCCCAAAAACAGATGACTGCATCAAGAAGATGTGGTACAAATACACAATGGAATATTACTCAGCAATTAAAAAAGATAAATTCATGCAATTTGCAGCAACATGGATGGAGCTGGAAGGGATCATGCTCAGTGAAATAAGCCAGAAAGAAAAAGAAAAATACCGGATGGTCTCACTCATAGCAGGAATGTAGAAAACCTAAATAAGGGACCATGAAAAAGAATAACTATAATAAAGAAAAAATAAAAATCAACAAACAACTATAAACCAGAGACACACTATGGGGGCGGGGAGGCAGGGAGAGAAGGGATTGGGGTCACAATAAGGGGGGTGAAATTGTATGGGGAATATATATAAATAAATCTTAAAAAAATAAAATAAAATAAAAAACTAAGGATGGTGTGAGCCATGTAAGTTCTTTGTGGCTTATGTATACTTCTGTTAGTTTTTTTTTTTTTAAAGTAGGGCTGGCAGGGATTCCTTTATAACAACTGTGTGCTATTAAAGCAATGGAGAACCAAATGACATAATTTTGAAAGATTTTTTCTCTATATGCTAAAAATATATGAAGTTGAGTCTCGATTATATGAAGATCACTGGACTCAATTGGACTGCACCCATTATGTAGTATAATAGTTTTGTTGAATTCACCTAAATTCCTCCATCATATACTACTTCTTAAAAATGCTATTCTATACTTACAGTCTATGAATTTTATAAATTTGACTCAAATAGCAAAATAATGTTTAATTTATATTATCAACAATAAAGGGTTCAACATTTTAAGTGAAAATATTTTCACATGCTACCACTTCCTCTCTCTTTTATAAACAAAGTTTTGACATCAAAACTTTTCTCTTGGGGGGAAAATACTTCAAGGTTGATGTTTTGTAAAATCTTAACTGTAAAATACAGATTTATCTTATATGCATCCTTGAAAATGGAAATCAAAGTTGCTAGTGCTTTTCATTTAATTGTCCCACCAAAGGCATATGTCTAAGGTGACATAATTACTAAATATATTGTAAAACCAGTAGCTCTTAGTTATAGAGTATGATGTCAATGTATTGGTAGTCTGAATTATTTCAAGTATGTCTTTATAAGTATCAGTGACTTCAGCATAAAATTTTAAGTATTATGTGTCAAGCCTATCTTAAATAAATTTATAATAATGTTCTCCTGAGCTAAAAACACAATATCATGATCTTCTGTGAACTAGAAATTTTCTAAACTTTACATGCCATGGGACAAAAATATCAAAAGCTAGCATGTTTACATTAATACCTTAGTGCACATGACTAATACTCTTGTAGCAAAAATTATTGTATGTCTTTCCTACCAATTGAGATACTGGTTTTAGACATAAAAAAGACTTGAAAAAGAGATCTCTAACAAAATTATTTCCTTTTGGATATTATTTTTAGAATATTTCATATTTTCAATGAAAGAAATTAAATTTTACATAGCATAACTTACTGATTCCTTATTAAATATTGTCATTATATTATCTGCCTCTTAAGTTTTTAACCTAAACACAGTTAACAAATTATGCTTATAGGACCCATTTTTTTGGTATATATTTATCCTATGTTGTTTTACAACTCTAGGGGGCTTAAAACAATCATCTGCTATGTAAATTTTCATTAATTCCTTAAACACAGAAACATTAATTCAAAAGGAAATCTGCACCCCTATGTTTATAGCAGCACTATTCACAACAGCTAAGCTATGGAAACAATCCAAATGCCCAAAAATAGATGACTGGATCAAGAAGATGTGGTGCAAATACACAATGGAATATTACTCAGCAATCAAAAAAGATAAACTCATGCAATTTGCAGCAACATGGATGGAGCTGGAATGAATCATGCTCATCAAAATAAACCAGAAAGAAAAAGAAAAATACTAGATGATCTCACTCATAGCAGGAATTTAGAAAACCTAAATAAGGGACCAGGAAAAAGACTAATTATAATAAAGCAAAAATCAAAATCAACAATCTGCTATAAACCAGAGACACACTAAGGGGCAGGAGGGATTAGGGTCAAAATAAGGGGGGGGTGGTGGGAATTGTATGGGGACTATAACCAAGATGAAAATGCATACATTGTGCAAAAATGAAAAATGATGTAAAAAATATATACAGTAAAATAAAATTTTAAAAAAGTAATTTTGAATTAAAAAAAAAAAAGCAAAACTCCAAAAGAGTTACTGCCAGGAATGGATGTGCAATGTTCAAATTAAATATTGCAATATTGTATTACAAATGCAAATGATTAACCAAATGCAAATGATTACAAATGCAAATGATTAATGTATGAATTCAAATGGCATTCATTCATTCAATTAGAAGTCTTCCCTGAAAGCATAGAGCTTACGTAGCTAGGTGAAATAAAACATGCACCAATACCTGTGATAAAGGATATTAAGTGGAAAATCATTTAAAAATGTCACATGAAAATTCTACTTCTGGGGCCTCCCTGGTGGTGCAAGGGGGTTAAGTACAGCACTATGAAGCAATTCACAGCCTCTGTAGCACGAGTTCAATCCCCAGCTGACCAGGGAGCTACCCACATGGTGTGGCAGACCTCTCCTGTCTCCCCCGCTGATCCCCTCAGCAGTGTATTTCAGTCAGTCTGCCTGTTCTGTTCCCCACTCGATCTCTGGTGAATCCTCTCACCCCCCTGCCTCTTTGGTCTGTACCCCAGCTCTTGTATGCATAAGTAAATTTTTTTTTTTAAAAGAAAGCTCTACTTCTATATGGATCAATGAATTGAGAATTTTGAAGAAAAAGGTTGTTACCTAAGAATTTTGTATCTAGGGGCCACCCTGGTGGCGCAGGGGTTAAGACAGAGTGCTGTCAAGATATTGCCAGCCAGTGAATTCCATGATCCCTGGCCATCCTGGGAGCTAACCCACATGGTGCAGCAGACCTCTCCTGTCTCCCCTGCCGCTCCCCTCAGCAGTGTATTTCAGTAGATCTGCCTATTCTGCTCCCCACTCTGTCTCTGGTGAATACTCTCACCACCCCACCACTGTACCTCTGGTCTACACCCCAGTTCTTGTATGCATAAATAAATCTTAAAAAAATAGTTTTATATCTAGGTAACTTAGCATTCATTTTGAATACAGCTGAATATCATTTTTATATTAACTAGAATTCAAAAATATACCACTGCTCTGTATCTTTTCTTTCAAACACCTTAAAATGTTCCCCATAATTTTTACATAAATTAGTCACAAATAAGATTTGAAGCTAAGATTTTTAAGGATGTGTAAGTCAGAGACTAATTACAAGTAATGGCTATAATTAGTATAATGAAACTAGTAAATATAGAATTATATCTAAATTATTACTAAAACAAAATTAAATGCATATAAAAAACACCTTTTTGGAAAACCAAAAAGGCCAAAAAGCACAAAAACAGAAATAATTGAATCAAATAATTCTAGTAAGTCCAAGTATATCTATCAGTTATCAATGACAAAGAAAATCATTTGTGAAGTATATTATGTATCCACACAAAGAGGCTAAGCCTTTATCTCTGACTAGAATGATGTAAAAAGGTAACAATACATAATAACACATTAATTAATATATTCTAAAGATAACATCACAGATCACTAGGGAATAGAAAAATATTCTATAAATGGTGCCAAGAGAAAATGACTTTGGAAAATGTTCACGACCTAATGATTTTATCATCATGCAAATTTATCAGGATACACAGTATATACCTAGTAATGTGAAAACATTTGAATACATGGAAAAATATTGAGAAA